CGAACTGTCTGCGTTTAAAATTGAGAAAGACAAGCTTCTAAAATGAGCATGTCGCTAACTAGCTTAGCCGCTAGATGCCGAAATAACACATTAGATTAAACTATTTCTGCACATAACTCGATATATTGCATTTGAATTCCTTGTTTTGCTTGCGTATTGGAGCAGGGAACCGGGCATTAACAATACGATGGACATCGCTGATTCTTACTTGTAGATCTCGGAGACATCTAGAAAATACTGACATTTTGGGCGACACGAATGAAAACCGGAAACTGAAACTGACTTCTGGCAACAGCGGAAGTTCGTCGCTACGCTTGTGCACAGAGTCCATTGCGTATTTCTGAGGGAGGGGCTTCATAAAAACAGGAAATGATCAGAGCCTTCAAAGGAGAAGGGACAGAGCAGTGTAGAATAAAGGTAAATTATGTGAAAAATAATGTTTTTTTTTTTAGTGGTGTCAAAATTAGCGCGTTAATGCAGGCGATTAATTTTTTCAGTTTAATGCCTTAAAAATATTTAACGCAATTAACGCAGGGGCGGGGCTAGGGTTGGCCACCCCACTCACAACTGCTGCTTCTGTCTCTTTTTCTCTTGACAAGAAGTGCATTTATTCAGTCGCAGAACGACTGAGAACGGGAGACGTTTCAGACGCGCGCTCCACTTCACTTCAGCGCCAGGCACGAGTCAAGCGAGCGCGGAAACGGTACTATGGCAAGCCAGAGTATTCACATACGCCTGGTCGGGCGTTTGATTGTAACCTGACACGTCAAAACCGTGCGATTTGACAGCAAAACGCGCATCCTCGACATGTGATTTGCCATAAAAACGCCCGTTCTTAACATGCGCTTTGGGTTCATGGAAAACGTTCTCAAAACTCTAGCAATTTGATAATACCTAGAATATCAAAGTCAACTGCGGGCGGAAGATCCTTTTCCTATTTAGTACCCAAACTCTGGAATAACCTACCTAACACTGTTCAGGAGGCAGACACACTCTGTCAGTTTAAATCTAGATTAAAGACCCATCTCTTTAACCTGGCTTACACATAACACACTAACACATTTCTAATATTCAAATCCGTTAAAGGATTTTAAGGCTGCATTAATTAGGTCAACCGGAACCGGGAACACTTTCCATAATACCCGAATGTACTTGCTTCATCGCTAGAAGAATGGCAACTACGCTAATATTCTGTATCCAGATCAGATGGTCACTGCAGTCACCCGGATCCAGTACGTATCCAGACCAGATGGTGGATCAGCACCGCTTGTCTCAGACAGCCACCGGGACAAGACCACAGGAGCTAGTTGAATCCTCTGCACAATGTGACTTTGCTGCAGCCTGGAATTGAACTGCTGGTTTCGTCTGGCCAGAGGAGAACTGGCCCCCTGACTGAGCCTGGTTTCTCCCAAGGTTTTTTCTCCATTCTGTCACCGATGGAGTTTTGGTTCCTTGCCGCTGTCGCCTCTGGCTTGCTTAGTTGGGGACACTTCATTTCCAGCGATATCGTTGACTTGATTTCACAGATACTATTTAAACTGAACTGAGCTGGATGATGACATCACTGAATTCAATGATGAACTGCCTTTAAGTGAAAAAGTGAGGGTTTACTATTGTCACTTTGCATTATTGACACACTATTTTCCTAATTAATGCTGTACAGTTGCTTTGACACAATCTGTATTGTTGAAAGCGCTATATAAATAAAGGTGACTTGTCTATCCGAGAGTGACGCGCGGTGACGCGCTGCCAAGATGGCGGCGGTCGGCTCCGCCCACTTTAGGCTTCAAAAATGCTCTTCTGAACCCTACGAGTGACGTCACGGATACTACGTCCATGTTTTTTTACAGTCTATGATCAAAACACGCGCCCTGGACGTGTGATTTGCTGTAAAAACGTTGGAGTCACCAAAAAATGTGCGTTTTTAAGAATAATGAGCTATCAATATCTTGGCTTAAAGGGGTGGTTGACTGCTTTTTTTTCTAGGCTTAATTGTGTTTATGGGGTGCAGTCTAACATGTGTTAAGGCTTTGTTTAAAAAAAAAAAACTAGTGCTGTCAATCGATTAAAAAAATTTACTAATTAATCACATTTTTCTGAAATTAATTGTGATTAATCGCGATTAATCCCACCTAACATTAAAGTTTTTAAAAATACTTTTATATTGCAATAATTTCACATTCGATCTTTAAATTATTGTACAAACAACATAAATACATATTTTTTAATATTTGTTTAATGGCATCTTTTTTTTATGACTGAAGGCCAGTATCAATGATACCAATACTGATTTCTCTATAAAATTGCCCCCCCCAATATTTAACCATTAACTATAGCCATTCAACATTACAGTATAATTGAGAGCTATCAATTTTAACATTTATTAGACTTTAAAAATCGTTGTGGTGCCTCATTGACAGATATTTGTAGAGCCGCGGGCTGGGCAACCCCCAACACGTTCGCTAGATTCTATAGCCTTCGTGTGGAGCCGGTATCCTCCTGTGTTCTCACCTCAAACGGGTTGAAGCACTGAGAGGCCCCGGCTTCGGGTCGGCTTGCTAAAACCGCTCCAGAGAGTCCATATCGTAGACCCTGTCGAGCTCCTCCGTCCCCTCGGCAGCCAGACGTGGCGGAGCATCCGGCGCCAGGCCTTCACTCGTTGAATCCTCGAGAACCGGTAGAAGGCTGGGTTCCATACTAGATTCTATAGCCTTCGTGTGGAGCCGGTATCCTCCTGTGTTCTCACCTCAAACGGGTAGTAGCACTGAGAGACCCCGGTTTAGTGTCGGCTTGCTAAAACTGCTCCAGAGTGTCCGTACTGTAGACCCTGTCATGCTCCTCCATCCCCTTGGCCAGGCCCTCACTCAATGAATTCATGAGAACCAGTAGAGGGCTGGGTTCCATATGTAGAGACCTAAGTGGATCCCATATGTGTAAAGTCCACGGTATAGCCTCAGAGCCCGTGTTTCCCCGGCAGACTTCTGCCATTTCCAAGAGGGTTACAATCACCTCTAATCTACCATATGCACCTAAGCGGTTGTCCATGTGGGTAAGTGCTTCCGAAACCTCCTTCGGGAAGGATGGGGCTTCCGCAACGTTCCTGTCCCAAGTGGTACAGGTACGTTTTTCCAGTGTTATCCAGTCTTACTGAGTGGGTAGTGCCATAGCAGCAGTAACTGCTCTTCTTGTGGTAAGCCCCGACCTGCGCCAAAAAGAAGGGGCGCAGGAGGCTTCCACAGGACACTGGAAGGGGCAGTAGCTGTGGCCCTTTGGTAGGATCCCAATTTCGTCGG